TTGTTAAATTAAATCATTAGGTGTAAAGAAAAATGAGATTCTATAATTATTTTGGTATTGAAATTGTTGTGTATGGCAAAGCAGAGGGGCCTTTGTTCCCCAGCAAAATCGAAGCCACTGGGCATTAGTGCCAAGTGACAGCAATATCATTATCGTTTTCCAAATTGCCATCATTAATTACCATTAAGTCTTGCAAGAACTGCCCAAATTATAAAATTTGAAGACAGACAAAAGTGTGTGCCGACCCAATACTAATTTTAAATGCATTTGACAGACCCACAAGTTACCTAATCATTTGGAATAATGATGATTTTTGGCTTAAGGACGAATTATTAGGGGGAAGGGTGTTTTAAACCCAAAAAAAAAAAAGAAAAGAAAAGAAAGGGGAAGAGAACTTTGGAGAATGTAACGAAAGAAGAGACAACAAGGATTTGAAGTTCATCTTTGGAATATTCTTACCCACCACGGTTGACGATGGAGATAGAGTCGAGACCGACTTTATACAGTTCGGTTTCGGTTAATTAAAATTTTGGTTATAATGTTTTAGAAACCATTTTTTTAATATATTTTATGATAAGTTATATAAAATGAATTAATTATTTTAAATTTATTTTTAAGATTTAAGATTTAGATATAAAATTTTTAATTTTTAATTTTAAAATTTTAACTAATTAAATTACCTTTAAAGGTAAATTTCAAAAACCATTAATTAAATTAAAAAATTTAGTTTTATTGGTTTTATTTTTTTAAGATTAATATTTGGTTTGATTTTAATTTTAAGTAAACAATTATTCTTAAAATTTTTTAGTTCTTAAATGTTATTTTATTATTAACAAAAAAAAAATTATCAATTTGACAAGAAGTAACAAGAAAATTTTTAAAAATTTATAATTTATTAAAAATTTTAAAAAAGATTTTTAAACTTGTACTTTTAATTATACTCACTTAATGACTACATTTTTGAACTTCTAAATCTAACAACTAAAGGTATTACGAAGTAAATTCTTATAAAAAAAAAAAGAGTCCAAAATCCATTCCAATCTAAGCCACCAATTATGATTTCAATCAAGTTCAAACAATTCAATGGCGGTCTAATTCCGCCCCTAGGTGGAAAAGTACTGAACCCTTTTGTATTCTCTCCTACCCAATTTTCTACACACAAGTTAAACAAGTGTCCTCCTGTTAATCACTCGAAAACGACACCAAAAGTCATCATTCCTCATCGCAAAAATAAAATTATTGAAAATAAGGCGGTTCTATATATATATATATATATATAGCTGCCTAGCTGGTCTGTTGTTTTGTGGTTATGTTGTCAATGTGGGCATTTATTTACGGAGCAAGTAATTCTACTCTTGTCTTCAAGCTTAATACTACTATTAATCCATGTTGTCATTCTTCTAAAACTACTAGAGATGGCCATCGACTCATAGAAGCTCGCATAATACGTGAACAAGAAGCAATCTTTTTATTTTTT